TGGTGGTACAAAATCAGGCATCAAAATTGATGTGCAAACTTTGGAAGAAGTTCTGCGAAGACAATCTGCAGTGAGACGTCGGGTAAGGCAAACTAAAGTGTCGGACTGAGGCTTCCGAAGGTTCGTCGTTCCATTCGCTGTCCGACGTTTGATTGATCCCGGGAAGGAAAAGCAGCTATTTTGACCAGCTTGACATGTATTCACTGTTCCACTAATTATTGTACTGTTTTGTTTGTTGTGGCAACCCATCACGTGTCCTAGAGTATATTCAAGTAAATCTGACTTTAAGTGCGGACAAAGGAGTGCTGAAGATACTGTCCCGCTTTGTTTTCAAACAGAACCTAATGAAGCGCAATGCTGTTTTAACAAAAATAAAGAAAATGACCCAAATTCCAAATGGAGTTCGACAGCCACCGTTATTGAGAGTGAATTTTCAAAAACCATTTTTTGCAATGAGAGTAATTTACATGTAACTGCCTCTCAGTTTTACCTTGCACAATGAACTGTCGCGGTGATCAATCCACTCCTGGAAGAAAAACTCGTCTGCCAAAAGTCGACCGAGTAAACCATGGAACACAGACATAAATCACAGACCATAGAATACGTTAAATTAAAATTTCTATTAAAGATACGCTTTCTGTGAAAATTTGTATTTAATGAATATCTTTACGATCCCTGCCAAAGTCCTTTTTCAGATCCCGACAAAAGATTACCATGAACCGCAGTTTAACGTAAGAAAAAGCGCTCGCCGTGGATTGTCTAAATAGGGTACTACTGCACTTTTGAATATCCCCTCCAGAAAATCAATGATAGAATAACTGATATCCGGGATGACATCAGTTGCCTCAAAGACTTTGACGCCTCCATGGAAAGTAGCCATTCGGATCTAACCAGACGATGGTTTGCGGCACGAGTCAAGTCAGTTATTCAGTCTCATGTTCAGACTTGTTTCTTTTCCGTGGCCACAGCTTCGAGTAGTTCTATATAATACCGAGTGTCTCTGCTGTAGCTTTCCGTTCTCCAGCAATGTGATATCTTCGAGCCAAACTGTTTATTACCTTCCTACCTTCGTTTCACATGGCTAAACCAACTTAGATGGTTTTGGCGAACACTTCTGCTATAGAAATGCTCGTATTTGCATATCCACAGTGAAACAAATAGAGACGTACTCCTTCTGTATATCTTTATCTTCAACCTCACTAGTTTTCGATCTACCGCTGGATGAAGGCCTCTTCAAGACTTTGCCATAAACTCGGTGTTGTGCAACTGTCATCTATTTTCGACCAACTTATTCAGCTCATCCTGTCGTCGATTTGGAGGTCACTCCGCATGCCATTTACACCTTGTTAGAACTCGGTGCAGTGTCTGTTCCAGCAACGGTCGGTTCTTCTTGCAACGTTTTCTGACACTCTAGACTCCTAATAGTACACCATATGGATACACCGTATCAATCTGAGCACCGATCGCGCAGTTTCGGTTCAAACCATCAA